TGTATCACCATGCTGACAGTGATCACCACAATGCTGTATGTCACCATGCCAATAGTGATCACCACAACGCCTGTATCACCATGCTGACAGTGATCGCCACAACACCTATATCAGAATGCTGACAATGATCACCACAATGCTCCAGCAAGTTTGGACACTTACATTTCTCTCCCATTTCCAGACATCTTGAATCCCCCAAACGGGCTCTGGGCATTTAAAGCATTGTAACAATTGATCCTGGAAGAAAAGATAGTGTTGTGAGTTACTGTGAATTCTGCCTGCATAGAAATAACCCCACGAACAGGGTATTTCTTCTAAAAGTTTTATTTTTTAATTCCTTTTTACAGATGAAGATGTTGTAATTTAAAATTCCCTTTGATTTCCTGACCTAGCCAGGAAGGGGTGCATCCCTTGGGGTGAAGGCTAGCTGCCTTTGGTCATTCCCATCTTCCCAGGGGTGTTTGTTTATTTCACTCAGGCTCCAGAGAAGCATGAACACACTAACCACCAGTGGGCTACGTTCTGATGGGAATGACGCTGCCGCCTCTGGTCTTACCACACAGTCCCAGCTTGCATCGCAGACGACACTGTGAGGGCCTTGTTGATGTCATTGGTGAAGACAGCTGCGACCAGTCCAAAGTCTGAGTTATTGGCTCTTTCAATAACTTCATCCATTGTCTTAAACCTCAGAATTTCCTGAACAGGGCCAAAGATCTGCAAGAAAACAGTGACTGCTTCGCCATTCCTTTACCTGCTTTCACAATTTCAAAACAAGTTTACTCTGCCTTGATTATTTTAATGACATTTAAGTTGAGCAGTACAAAGCTGTAAACTATCCCATAGTTTCCCAGAATAAGATTACTCTAACTCGAACAGTTTGCTTAACACCCCTGCTCCCCAGCATCGCTTGATTCCCCCAGGTATACTGGAGTGCATTCTCTAGGTACAGAAGAGAAAGTGGCATCCTGCGGGATCCCCTGGGTGCTGTTCCAGGGCTGAGAACACTGACCTGGAACTGGACGACCTGCTCCCAGTCCCTCTCCTGCACAAACGTGAGTGCTCCTTCTCCTTCCCAGTTAACAGTCTAGTGACCCACATCTGGGGGAACTGAACTGCTGCCAGTGTATTACTGAGGCTCATGACTTGGCTATTACAATTGTTCTGTCGGCTAACAATAACTGCAGTCTAATGGTGTGTCACCCGGCCCCCATCTAGCTTGTATGCTTTTTTGTTGGATTTTTTCCTTGAGACTGGGATTTTCACAGCCATGCATGGTGCTATTACAGAGTGCATACGGAATACAAAGGCTGAAGCTCCATACTGTCTACTAGGAATGCTCTGGAAATCACCCCAAGAAAGACGGGGCTTTTGTAAGAACACCGCGCTTGATACCTCTTCTTTGGCAATCCGCATGTCGTCGGTGACGTCTGAGAACACCGTGGGCTCGATGAAGAAGCCTTTCCGGCCCAGCCCTTTGCCTCCACATTCCAGCTTGGCGCCCTCAGCTACACCACTCTGGATGAGCTCCAGGATCTTGTTGTACTGCTTCTTATCAATCTACAGAACAAACACCTGATGACTCCAGGTAAAACCTTCCATGAAGATAGAGACAAGCATGTTCTCAAGAATCCCTCAGTTACGATTTTTCAAAGATTCATTGGATCTGGTTAAATCATATGAAACTGCTGTTATTTAACATTCTGACCCACAAAAAATGGCAACTGCCTATGGTTCAACCCAATAGAGGAGCCTTGGTGGCACAGTGCTTAAAGCGCTCAGCAGCTAACTAAAAGGTTGGTAATTCGAGCCCACCAGTCGCTCCTCGGGAGAAAGATGTGGCAGTCGGCTTCAGTAAAGATTATAGCCTTGGAAACTCCATGGGGCAGTTCTACTCTGTCCTACAGGGTCGCTATGACTCAGAATTAACTTGATGGCAGTGGGTCTGGTTTCAATCTTACATAAGGAGGATTCCAAGAAATGCATCGCTCTGACGATATTGCAGAATCACAAGTACCAATGAAAGAGCAGAAGTTTCTAAGCGACGGGAACACTCGCTAATTATTATTCACTGCTTATATGGGGGAGACTTCCTCTATAGTCAAGTGAATAATTTCACAAGTTGTACTGATCATTAAAAAAATAAAAACAATAAATGAATTAACGTACTCTCTCTTTAGCTGGTGTAACACACCAAACCCTATTGGAGTATGTTTTTAAAGAAATTTTTATTACACTTTTACAGGGAAGGATTAAGTGTAAAGAGTGAGGGGGCTGGCTTCCTAGTCCACAAAATATGGTCAGTCTTACACGCTCCCAAAACTGACAGAGTCGTTACTCAGTTGTGGTAAAAGCATAAAAACCTACATCCACCTGAGTCTGAACTGCTTCTCTCACAGGGTCACCAACCACAGAGACGCCGTTCCTCACCACACACACCAGCTCTCTAGTGACTCAGGTGGGAGCTGGTGTGGACAGTCTTCGAAACATCCTTAGACTCTATCTACAGTTTGAAAGCAGAATTCCACTTGGAAATATGGCCTGATGATAATGGAGAACTGCAGAGCTAAAGAGTGGCTGCTCAGACGGGACTTCTGTGCCTCTCCCCACCCCACCAGTATGCGAAGCGCTGAGAGTGGGGACAGCCGTAAGGCAAAGGGACAGTTACTGGGTCACTCATTTCCCACACGGTTATAAGCTACAAGTGATTTCCCCACATGAGGTCAGGTGGGTGGGAAGGAGAGATCCTCACCCTCCTTGTCTCTAAGTTCAGTGGCTAGAAGACTGGGCTATAATGTAATGCTCCATCTTGTCATGCCCGGGTCTTTCCTTCGAGCCACGAAACTCCAACTTACCCCAGAAGTTCAGAATATCTTTAAGGCAGCCCTATAACCTCTAGGTTTTTTGGAGGTATACTTTCGAAAGGGAAGAAGAGTAAGAAATAGACAGTCCTCACTGGCTTCGTTTCCAGCCCTCACGTCATAGACAAGGTGGAGGAGTAAGGAGGCACTGGGAAAGGGAATAGGGTGGAGTGTCCAGTTTGTGCTAGCTAGGGACTGAGTAAAGAAAGAACAGCCTACGACTCCTCTACCTGGGGTCCCTGCTCAGTGGTGGGGTCAAAGGGACTGCCCACTGTGCGCCTCTTGGCCCGCTCCACGCTTCTCCTGACGAACTCCTCGTAGATGGGCTCTTCCACAAAGATGCGGGAGCCCGCGGTGCAGCACTGGCCTTGGTTGAAGAACACACCCTGGTGAGCCTGCTCCACGGCATAGTCCACTGCAAGAAGAAACAGCCAAGCTCCCAACACTGCATCCCCCCCACGGAAGCCTGCACAGCCGCACCCCCACCCGCCCCTCCAGCCTTGCGCTCACCACAGAGCACAACGCAAGGAAAAGCCAAACGCCACTTGTCATCCAGTCCACTCTGACAGCGACAACCACTGGGTGGAAAATGCAGCTTAGTTTCAGTTCTAACTAGACCCTGACATTACTTGCTATGTGGACTTGGATAACTTCACTTCTTTGAGTCTCTTTTCTCTTCTGTAAAAGGAAAGACTGGATCAGATGATCTGTAACAGGAGTCTCCACTTCCAACGTGCAAAGGAAAGAGGCAGCTCATGGAAAGGTGTGAACTGAGCCATGTGGTAAAACCCCCTTGTGGAGACTAACAAGGGAAGCCACTACTGCAGTTGGCTGATGCCAAGCACGATTATAAACCCAGAGTTGATAATCTTTCCATTTTTAAGAAAGAACAGAAATCAGTATTTTTAATGTACAGTTTCTGTTTTTTTGTTTAAAAAAAAAAAAACTACAACACTGTGTAGGTCAAACAAGACATGTCTCTATCCTACATCTGGCCTGCGGACTGACAGTTTTCAACCCTAATCTACAGGCCCTTCAATGTTTAATCAGCATTCTGGTGAATTAAAGTGTATCAGTGATGGATCTTCTTTGAGGGCACCAATTTTTTCCATTGGAACGGGACTGTGTAAGAGAACATGACAACTATTTCGTTTGCATCCCTCATGCTTTATACTTGGTGACAATAATAAATCCGACGTGTCCTAGTTGCTAAATGACGGCTGAACAGACACGAACAAATCAGTGTTACAATGTCAATGCGCACCCACTCCTCAGGAGGAATTCGTGTAAATTCCGAGGCCCTCGGCAGTGAGAAGCAGGCGGAAGCTGAACTCTGCCAAGGCCAAGCTCAGGCTGCAATTCAGACAATCTGGTTTCTGTTTCCTGATCTGGGAAATTGGGATAGCAGCTCTGCCTGGCAGGATGTGAGGATGAAAAAGAGTGACTGAAGGACATTTAGAATTTCATTCCCCGGAGAGCTTTTAAAAACAGAACGTCCACACCTGTGCAGAATGGACCAGGTGGCATCCTGCCTGCAGACACAGGGTTAAGTAGGCTGCTGTTGTACGCCTCCCTGAAGTCCTGCTGCCGAGGCAGAATCACCTCTGAGGTGTGTTCACAGAGAACTGACCAGAAGGTGCTGTCATCCTAACTGCAAGTCAAGGGGAGCAGCAGAAAGGTGCCGGGATGGTTAAACAGAGAAGGGGCTGTGGGTCTGGGAGAATACCGGCAGTACTACTAAACGGGGCTTTATTTTTAGTAATCTACAAAGACACCAGGCACAGCTGACAAGTTTCCGATTTCTTAAAACTGGGCAGAGAGACTGGATTTCAGGTGTTCAGAAGGCTGAGACCCTTGCTTTGTCCATTATGCAAACTGACCAGGCCTTTGCCTCCTATATACCCTTCTCAGCATCACACAGTCAAAGGGCTGGAAGAATCCAGAAAACAAACTCTCTGTTCATTTGTTAATCGATACTTGTTCTCCCCCCAGTATTGAACCATTTTCTTCTTGGAAGCAAGGAGGGCCCACGGAAGCAAGATTCAGTTCTTCTTGAATGCCCCTTCGCTTCAAAGACATTTTTCTTAGTGTCCTATCAAATGTGGAGATACAAAGTCGGCACCAAAGTGTAGTTCGGTAGGGACATGTCTGGGATCTGTGGGTGACTTACAATCAGCATCTGCAAAAATAATATTGGGACTTTTCCCTCCAAGTTCCAGGGTTACTCTCTTCAGATTACTTCTTCCAGCTGCTTCTTGGATAAGCTTTCCAACCTGAAAGAAAGAAATGGAGAGAGGCGTCACACACCTTGCGGTCCAGACCGTCAGCAGCTGGCTCTGGGCAACAAAGGGATGTGCAGTAACGGGTCCTGCAAGGTGAACTCACCCACGGAATAACAGGGACAGTTCACCGTGGTGAGCCTGCCTGCCCACGACGTGAGTCGGCTGGGAAGCAGTTTAAAGAGTGCTGAAGTGACTTAGAACACTGCTTTACTTTCATGATGGAGGGAGCCAGCAAAAGGGGGTTAAAGCTGGAACTGTAATCACTGAGAGAGTTCTCTGAAGACAGCTGGCAGGCCAAATGTAGCAGATGCCATCACTGCACTGTGGCCTAGCCTCCAGAAAAAGCCAAACTGGCTCTGCTTCAAAGGAATGATGATTGTAAAACAGATTGTTCCAGAATCTCTCAAAATGCCAGGTATGACTTTTATCACATGGTCTCACGTGCCTCTGCCTAGGGTTACAGTAAAAGGATTCCAGATGGCCGAGGATCTGTCTTTACTGGTGTATTTTGCAAATGTCTATTTACCTAGAATCCAAACAAACAATATGCTGAGTTTGGGGAAAGCATTTACCATTAAGTAGACTTGTATTTCCAATGAAACTGAAACTGTCAGAATGGAGACAGGGATCCCCCGCTGAAGGCGGAGCCCCCCAGTTGAAGGCGGAGCCTCCCCCCACTGTAGGCGGAGCTCCCCCACTGAAGGCGGAGCCACCCCACTGAAGGCGGAGCCACCCCGCTGAAGGCGGAGCCACCCCATTGAAGGCGGAGCCACCCCGTTGAAGGCAGAGCCTCCCTGCTGAAGGCGGAGCCACCCCGCTGAGGGTGGAGCTCCCCCGTTGAAGGCAGGGCTCCCCCGCTGAAGGCAGAGCTCACTGCCTCAGTCGCTGGGAGTGCTGTCAGGAGACAGCCTCCAGCCTCAGCTCCTTCTGAGTCTGCCTCAGCTGAAGAGAGCTGCCTAGCCCAAGGGGGTTTCCTCTCGCAGGTGGTCCCATCCAGGGACTGAAGTGGCAGGGGCATAAAGCCCACCCTTTGAGCCAGCCACAGGACAACTCTGAGGTGCCACATGCTCCCCCGCACCCCGTGGGCTGGCTGAGGCTCTGTTGGGCCACACTGCAGTCAGCCTTCCCCTTTGCCCCATCCCCATCAGCAGGGATTCCTGACACACGTCCTGCGTGTCAAAGTCCATCTCAGTGACTGCTTCCAGAGACCCCAACCTGTAACAGCGCTGCTCGACTGGAGAGGAGAGGTCATTTTATGGAAAATATTGAGCCACCGTGTAGGCATGTTGATCACACTGAGATGGAAAATGTTACTTACACCTGAGATTCTACGGGAAACTTAAGTACCTAAAAAGCCTGGAGAAGAGAAATCCTAAGTTTACGTCTGATTTCCACTGGGCCCCTGATGTCCTCAAGCAGGGCTGAAGACTCCTCACGTACGCATGGGTAAGGCTGCCTGGACTTTTTTACTGGTCCTGTCACTTAACTTCTCTGAGCCCTGGCTAGCCTCCTCTGTACAATGGGGAGAAAAACAGTACCTATCTCAGAAGTTAGCGATCCTGAGGAATAAGTGACTTCACATTTATGGCACTTAGAATCCACCCTGGCACATAGTGCCGTTACGTGTTAACCATAAACAGGTGTGAAAAGCTAAGGACCCTTTCTTCTTCCATGTCCGATTGAGAAAAATTCATGTGACTGAAGGGAGAGACACTGTTAGATCTTCCAAAGTAGAAAGCGCTCAAGAAAACACTGGGGAGACACCCCACTTCCCTCGGGCGCCAATACTACTCGTTGACTCAGTTAGATACTTCTGCGTTTTCATGGTTACTCTGCCTCACTGCAGAAACAGTCTGAGACAGCTATGTTGTTAAGTTGCTGTCCAGTCAATTCCGACGCATGGTGACCCCATGTGTGCAGAGTAGAGCTGCTCCATAGGGTTTTCAAGGCTGTGATCTTTCGGAAGCAGATATCGGGCCTGTCTTCTGTGATGCCTCTGGGTAGGTTCAAACCGCCAACCTTCTGGCTAGTAGTCAAACACTTAGCTGTGCCAACCAGGGAACTCTTGAGGCAGCTATATGTATCTACTGAGGCTGTTTTAGGAAACAGACCCTCATTCTGAGCAAACCTAACCTTGGAAAAAATTGATGTCTCTTAAAGAGGCAGAATTAAGAGTTCATGTTGTAGAACAGTGTTACCCACCCAGGTTTGAGGGAACCCTCCCATCCGGCCCTGAGAGATGAACGGGAATACTTCAGCCCACAGCCAGGCTCCTCCCTCCCTGCCCCTGCAGTCCGGATCTCTTCTACCTCAACGGAAACTCCCCAGGGAGACTGTGGGCTCAGTGAAGGACCTGGTGTCAGGCCGGGGGAAGGAAATACATGTTCACAAAGGGAAGAAGTATCTGGTCCTCTGTTCTGGCAAGAGAACAGGAGTTAGGTGAAAAATACGGCTGGAGCTGGGACCCCTGCTAAAGAGAGGAACCCACCCAGAAGGGCAATTCTGGAAACATTGACACATCGACTTAATGCTGGCCCCAGTCACCTGTGACTGCCGGCTTTTCTGAGGACCTGTAGTGTGGCCGGCTTTCTGTGCCTCGGGGAAGTCCACATTAATAGATGGGGACACACTTTAAAGTCCAAGAAGATAAACAGACAAGTATTTTCTCAAACAAGCCAATCACTGGAATTCAGGAACATACTATTAATCCTAAGAAAAGCTAACGTTTATTGAGTCAGTTTGTGTCAGATCTGTCTGCATTAACTCGTTTAACCCTCTCAAAAACCCTATAAAGTAGGTACCACCTTATTCTAAAGACGAGCAGACTTAATTAGAAGTTAAGGAACGTTACCAGGTTGGCCAGCTAGTTATTGACAGAGGCTGTTGGACTCCATGCACGCTGACTCCAGGGCCCAAGCCCCAAATCACCCGCCTACTTCCTCTCCTTCCCCACAGTGTTCTGTCCTCCCTTCTGCCTCCTCTCTGCATTCACTGAGCACCTGGCATCACAACCCTATCCCGGAACTCCAAACTGATGTCAGAGAGAGCAGGAGTATGACTTCTTGTAGGCCCCAATAATTTCACCAATCATCAGTGACAAAATGTACATTTGCTTTCAGGGTTACATTTTAACAACAAATAAAGCCAGGGGAAATCCAGGGACTTACACACAGGACGAGGTTGTGGTGAAGAGCAGGCCGACGTCTGTTAGCCCCACCCCCGACAGCCATCACACCACCGCTACGAGTGGGTTCTTTCTGCCCCTCGAACGTGATCCAGTGATTACCTTCACGGCTACAGTATCCAAAAGCCCTGCTCAGCCTGTGGTCGTCAGAGGAGGATACTAAGAACATTTTTTCCCATGTCGATGCTTTGCCAGCCTTTCCTTAAAAACCAAGTTCCTGTAAACACTGCTGGGCAAATCTCATGGGTCATGCCTTTCCTCTTCATCTTGGGAAGAAGGTCAAGTCCCAGCCGAGCCTCAAGGAGAATGGGACAGGTAGTCCCTGGGCAAACCGCTTCTCTTTCGAGAGGCCAGAGGAGGCTCCTGAGAAGCGCAGGTTTTCACCAATTACCCCCACTCAACACAAATTCAGTTCTCTTCCTATGTGCCAGGTGTGACGTTGGGCATAGTCTCTTCCTGACAAGGAACCCACAGCTATAAGGACCTCCACATGACCTAGCAGGTGCCCAATAAATGCGGCGTGGCAGTCCCCTAGAGAAAAGCCTGGATCTAATTTAATATGAGATGTAAACAGATTAAATTATGGTTCTGCAGTACTTTGTTGTAACCCAGAGTCAGCTCACTGTGGTCCCTTCACCCAGCACTGGGGTAGAATGGAACAAGCTTCATCAGTGAGAGGCTCAGGCATCATGTGCATTCCCACGATATGCTCAGGTTCCAGGCCAGAGTCTCTCTGGAGAATATATTACCACTCACGAATTTCCCTGCGGAGCTGAGCAAGGTTGAGCGACCCCAAACTGGAGTCGCTCCTCATTATCACTATCATGAGGGGGAAGGAAGTGGAGGAAAGAGACCGTATGCAACAGGTCTGCAAATGCAATCCCAAAGTGGGGGACTCTTGATAGGGAGAAGCAATATGTTTAAAAACAGAGTTCAAGTGAGAGCCGGCTCCATGTCTACTTACAAAGTATCACAGGTCTATGCAAATCAAGCTAAAATATTCCTTGCACACACCCCATGCAAGTTTCCAAAATCAAAATATATGCAATTAGAAAGTCTAAGAAATAATCAGTCAGAGACAGAAGACAAAGGTCCAGCCCTTCCGTGATGGCAAAGCAGAGTTCCTCTGGGATGAGTGCGACACCAGTCATATTTAACCCTTCCCTACACGATGAGAAGGTGGAAATGAGGTAACCAGGGTACGTGATGCACATGTCTTCTGAGTGGTTCAAGGCAAGTCAACAGGGATGGACTTTTGGAAACTAAGCCCTATTCTGACAAAACAGGCAATTTATACAACAGATAAACATACAGCTCAAGAAATGAAATCCTATACATGATGAGAATACTGTGTATGATGTAGATACAGATTAAACAGGATAAAGGCATAGAGACCAAATTTTGAGTTCCCCACCAGTCATCTATTGTTCCAATCGGAAAAGACTTCACAGTGTACTCGTTATGCCTCCAGCCCTATAGCTGAGCACCAGCTAATTATAACCTTACTCAGGTTGATGGGCTACAGTCTGGCCCACGGGGTCAGAAGACGCAGGCACTCCACATTCTGCCTGGGCAACTAACGAACCGCCAACTCCACTTCCTCAGGTCTCAGTTTTTTTATCTGTCCATTGAAGGCACAGGCCAAGCGGAGAATCTGTTCCTGGTACTCCAGCTAATGGGACGAGTTCAGACAGACAGAACTCTTGGGGCCCCTGCTCGTTCTGAGAATCTGTCCACGATCCTTCTGTGTTCTTCCTGCCTTATAAAGCAGAAGCAGCTTTTCCCAAGAGCACCACAGCTGCTCTGA